TGGAGAAGCATTAACAGAACAGCTAACAGCACTAATTAACAAAATCATCAAACATAATAAAATACCTGAAGAGTGGAAGAAAACCGAGCTTATCCTACTATACAAAAAATGAGATAAAAAACAACCTGAAAACTACAGAGGTATCAACTTATTAAACACCACTTTGAAGCTTACAACCAAAATATTGCAAGGCCAAATAAATCAGAGAATTACCTTAGCGGATGAACAGCAGGGTTTTCGCACAGGAAGATCGTGCACAGATGCAGTATTCATCATAAAACAGATTACCGAGAAAGCACAAGAGTATAACAGACCAGCATTCATATGTCTAATAGACCTGAAGAAAGCGTTCGATAAAGTAAAGCTTAAAGATGTAATTCACCTTCTTTACGATAGAGAAATTCCACTAAATGTTATAAAAACAATAGAGAACATTTACCAGAACAACAATATGGAAGTCAGAATAGATGACCAGCTTACAGATCCAATAGATATGGGCAATGGAATAAGACTCGCTTAGTCCAACGCTATTCAATCTAATCATGGATGAAATCATCAATACTATTAATAAAGGAAGAGGATACAAAATGGGGAACAAAGAAATCAGAATACTCTGCTATGCAGATGATGCGGCCCTAATTGCATCCAATGAAGACGATCTACAAAGACTAACCCATACACAGAAAACTAAAACAATTGTAATCAGTAAAGAACCAATTAGATGTAAACTGGAAATCGACGGTATCAGCATTGAGCAAGTAATGGAGACAAATTACCTAGGAATTACACTGTCTAGCTACGGAGATGTGGAGAAGGAAGTGAAAAATCAAGTACAAAAGGCTAATAAAATAGCAGATTGTCTTAATAACACGATATGGCGCAATCCCCACATTAATATCGACGTGAAATCAAGAATCTACAAAGCAACAATAAGACCAATAATGACATACACTTCAGAGACAAGACGGATACCTCCAAAACTCAGCAAATACTAGAAACAGCGGAGATGCGTTTACTGAGGAGAATTACAGGAAACACACTGAGGGATCGAATGAGGAGTGAAGAGATCAGAATAAAATGCAATATACCAGAAATAAATGAGTGGACACTGAACAGAAAAAAGGAATGGAACGAACACATAAACAGAATGGAAGAGACCCGATTAGTCAGAATAGCGAGGGACAAACCCAAAAAACTTTTTCCTTGAAAAACCCTTTCACCAAAAGGTAGAAGAAGTATCGGAGGACCACGCAAAAGATAGAGTGATAACCTCCAATAGAGGCATTAATCGACATTGAACAAGCATTTTGCTTATAAAAAAGAAGGAGAAGAAGAAGAAATCGATTCAAATGTCGTCGGGAATGACTTCAGGAAGTTGGACGTATTCCCTGTATATGCTCATATTCATCATAGATGTGCTGGATCGTCTTCCTAAGAGCGCCGAAGTCACACTCCAGTGATGTCGTTCTTCTCCATTTGGGCAGCGAATCTGCACACCTGACACGGCCAGTGCGCGCTCGGTTTAAGGCGGACCATTGTTTGCAATTTAATTTCATTCCAGTGATATTTCAGGTATAGTCTTCAAACCAGGTCTGTAGCTGATCATTTGTCTGTTGGTTCCAAGCAAGACTCTACTGTTTTAATGAGTCATAGTTATTGTTATGAAGTTGTTCAGCTGTATGTATGGGTGATTTTCTTGATTTCAGTCTAGTATACCGCAGCTGTGGGAATTCTTTTTGGATTGGTAGTTCTGTTTTACGGATACTATCAAAAATTTAGAAAAGCCATAAAATAACCAGCGATATCAAAACCAGACTTGTAAGAAGCTTGCTTTTATCAATTTTCCTGTATGCTGCTGAATGACATAATCTAAGAAGAAAGAGAACATGTCTCTACAACATGTCTCTTTATCATATAAACTAAATAATATGTTTGAAAATAATAATTATATTTATCTGAAATTATTTTAGAATGAGAATTATTATAATAATGTAAACATAAGATTCAATGTTGTTATTAATCGGATTTCATTTATAACTTTTAATAAATTTTGACAATCGTTACAAATCGAATCTTTTAATGACAATGACGAATTTTTAATTCTTTTAATTTTTTCCTTCTCATTTAATATCTTTATTTTGTTAGTTATTTTTCATATAGTTTGTAATTTAAATCTGCTTAGAGTAAATATATAATGACTAGAAACGAATTGATCAAGAGTAGCAAATCGATGTCAGAAGCGCTATTATATGGCGCTACCCGTGACGATGACATCTTGTGACACTAGTTCCGTGACGCAAGCCTCAGCATTTTACTTAAAAACGAAAAAGAAGATCAAAAACGAAAATTGAGGATATCACAAGAAAACCTCATCTGTGGTCTTCTTGATGGGTAGACGACATAAAAAGTAGAGCCGGAACAAATTTTAAGTATGTTGCTCAGGATAGAGATCGATGAAAGGAGTTAGGAGATAGAAGACTAAGAAAAAGAAGAAGAAGTATCAGATCAGTCAGCCCCTCCGAGACTTAAGTTTTTATTTGATTCCATTAAATTACATTTTCACGAAATTCACATTTTCTTAAACTAAATCTGCATAAAGCTCGAATATTTTTACTGAAAAATAAACATATTTATATATAGACGTTATTCGTCGACATAAACTCAATACAATTTCAGCTACCAAGTTGACAAACTAAAGGTAGAAATAAAGGGAAACAAAAAACACTTCCGAGGCAACACATTTTATCCAGACTTTTACAAAGAATCCGATCGTTATCACAGAGCTGCTCTCAGGAAATTGCATGAAACGTATCGGAAAAACCGGCGTCCATTGATAAGGTGTTAATTTGAACGAAAAAAAATTAATTGGTGAGCTGTTACAGAAAGTACTTCTCACACAAAAAAATATTAGGTTTTTCTGTTTTATTACCTTCTCCATCGAGCTGATTAAAGCTTTTAACTATGGTGATATATATATATATATATATATATATATATATATATATATATATATATATATATATATATATATATATATATATACTTCTCCAAGAAATTAACGCACCACTTCAATAAATCAATTTTATTTGTAAACAGGCAAAAAATAAAAAATATAACTTCACCAGATTTATTCTACATTTTATTAGTAATTATAACGATTTGTCTAATCATCAGAAAATGTTGAAGTACAGGAGGAAAAAAAATAAAACGGAAAATTCTAAAAATATAATGATCAGAAAAGTAAACTAAAATATAAAAAAAGTCTTAATAACGAGTGTTTCCACCTCTACTACGGATAACAGCCTCACATCGTTTCCCCATACTTAAAATTAATTGCCGTATTTCATATTGGTCTAGTTCTCTCCAAATCTGGATCAGCCTCTCTCCCACTTCCTGTAAGTTGTTTGGTTGGATCGGTGTCGCTCTTAATCGCCTGCCAAGGATATCCCAGAGATTTTCAATCGGATTTAATTTTGGACTAAGTGCTGACAATTCCATAGTGTTAATTTCTACCTCTTCTAGATAAGTTCTGACCATCTGTGCAACGTGAGGTCTGGCATTATCTTGCATTAGTAAGAAATTTTCACCGATATAAGTAGCGAGTGGTACTACATGTTGCTCCAATATGTACCTTTCAGCTGTAACAGTTCCATTTGTATGACCACTAGGTCCGTAAATACCACCCTACACCATAACGAATCCTCCACCAAAAAATGTGGTGTGTGAGAAGTTACACTGAGCATATCGTTCGTTGGGTCGTCGCAACACACGAACACGTCTGTCGTTAATGTACAAACAAAATCGGGATTCATCAGTAAATAGCACTCGTTCCCAGCCAGCATCTAACCAATTACGTGTTCTCTGGCAAAATGTAGTCTCCCCCTTCGACGCTCTGCAGTTAATAGAGGACCTCGGGCGGCAATCCTAGGTATTAAGTTGTATCCCCCAAGTAGCTAGCGAACAGTTTCAGTACTAATTTGTATAACATGCATGTCTCAAAGCTGAATTTGTAGACTTCGATGTGTTACACAACGTTGTCGAAGAGTAGAAATTCTTAAAAATCGATCTTGAATAGGGGTAGTTACCCGGTTTCGTCCTTGCCCTGGTCTGCGAGTGTGATCCCCTGTTTCGAGGAATCTTTATAACACCCGTAAAACGGATGTGTGGGACACATTAAACCGATATCCAATTCATTGGTAACTCCAACCTTCTTCCGACAGTATCACTGCTTGGGCACATTCATCTCGGGTTAAATTACATGATTGACGCCAGTGGCGGCTTTTGGGGGTAGGCAGGATAGGCCGGGCCTACCCAATAATTTTAAGAGCTTTAAAATTGGAAAATATATATTCAAAAATTATGTTAATGCATGTAAATAACTTTTAAATGTACTAAATCACTCAATACATTAGCGTCCGCTAAAACAACTATGTTATTATATTACCACAGAAAGCATCAAATCGTATTCAGGCATTTTAAAATATCATTAATAGGCCCGATAGTAACTGGCCGACCCAGCGCACATAAGATCCCCGTACAAAAAGCGTTTGAAGTTAAGCAGTTTGCCGGACAACGATTTATATTGGCATGTTTATGCTCGCTGTGTAGGCACCAGACGATCGGGCCTAGCGTCGACCTTCGTTGTCACTTGTAACGTAATTATCGAATTGTAATATAAATTTTCTTTTAAATTATGATAAAAAAATATGTAACATAATCTATAATTGTAACATATTTTTAAACAAACAACACAATTGCAAACAAGTTCACGGTTGCATAAATAAATTTTAAAAAATTCGTAAAATTCGAAAAAAAAAATCACATTTGCATGATTTCTATATCTTCTGATTGTATGCAACTTATATATGGCAACACTGGCATTAGTTCAATTTTCACTGTTATCTGTTATTACTAGTTGCACTAGTTGTTTGGTCGATCAAGGTTGATTTTTAAAAATTTTTCTTGGAATAGTGAGATTGTTTTATAACTGATACATAAAAATGAGTTTTTCTGACGCTTTACCAGGTTGCAGTAATAGTAATGTTGATAGTGAGTGTTTGGACATTGTTGTTTCACTATTGGAATTGCCATTATCTAGAAGAACTGAAGTTGATAGAAAAAAAATTATTATGAATGAAAGGCCTACTCCAACATTGCGTATTGACCAAAAAGATGGGAAAAAGGTGCGTACTTTTAATTGTTCTTGGTATGATGTCTATAAATGGTTGTCTGGAAGTATTACAAAAAATAGACTATATTGTTGGCCGTGTTTGTTATTTTCTAATAAGAAATGTGTATGGAATTGTGAAGGATACTTTGATTTAAAAAATATGTCTGCCTCCTTAAAAAAACATTCCAGTTGCAAGGAACATTTAAGTAATTTCCTGTCCTTTAAGGATGTGCAGAAGACGGCGTTTTGTGTTCGCGATTTGCTAGATGAAAAATCAAAAATCGCAAAAATTAGATACAATGCAAAAGTTAAAATGAACAGAGAAATCATTAAAAAATTAGTTTCTTGAACTTGTACTTTAGCGAAACAGGGACTGGCTTTCCGTGGCCACGACGAATCCGATGATTCCCTAAATCCTGGAAATTTTAAAGCGATTTGGGAATTAATATTAAAATCAACTCCAGAACTAAATGATCACTGGCAGAAAAAAATATATTTCAGAGGTATCTCAAAAACGATACAAAACGAACTAATCGATCTAGTGAAAGACGAAATTCATATTTTTATCGAGAATGCCATAAACAACTCCACATTTTTTGCATGCATTGTTGATGAAACAACCGATATTACTGAAAGAGCACAATGTTCAATAGTATGCAGACTAGTGGACACAAAAGGCGTTGTTCAAGAATATTTCTTAGGTTTTTTTGATCTCGGGGAAGACCGAAGTGCTCCAGCGTTACGTGACTTACTGTTGAGTGTAATCGGTAAATTTGACTGTAAAGCTAAATTAATTGCTCAATCCTACGATGGAGCTAGTGTTATGTCGGGACAACTTAATGGACTTCAAAAATTAGTGAGAGATTCTGCACCATTGGCAATATTTACCCATTGTTTCGCTCACCGCCTCAACTTAGTTTTACAGCAAAGTTGCTCCAACATTACAACAGTCAAATATTTTTCTCAACGCTTCAAGGTATACCAGCTTATTTTCACCAATCGTCCAAACGACCCTGTTTTTTAAATAAAATACTTGGAAAACGAATTCCCACAAATAGTGAAATAAGATGGAATTCAAATGCAAAAGTAGTTTATGCTGTGTCACAAGAAAGAAAGAAATTGTTACAAGTCTTTCAGGACATAATGAATTGCCCAGAATCAAATGCAAAATCAATTAGGCAGGCAGATGGTTTTAAACGTAAATTGGAGGACTTGGAATTTGTATTTTTATTAAATGTTTTTAGTGATATATTTCAACAAACAGCTCTTATACAACATATTGCAGAAGAAAAATAATGATGTCCAATTGTGTGCCAATTCAGTGTCCAGATGTGTTGCAATGTTAAAGAGCTGGAGAAATGACCTTACATTTTCTAACCATTTTAACATTTCTGTTAGCGAAACACATTCTGAACCCATCTTAAGTCATAGTGAACTTGATATTTTACCTGGTAGTGTATCTAATAACGGAGATCAAAGTTTTTTGGAGAAAGCTAAAACTAAATTTAGAAGGGTCTTTTTTGAGATTTTGGACAATATTATCACTCAATTAGAGCAACGTTTCTTGGATTACGCAAAGTTTCAATTTCTGGAATTGGGCGATAATAAAAGATTCACAGAATATGGCGCTAAATTTCCACAAAAAGCTTTGGACTCATTGATGGATACATATGAACCACTTTTTAATAAATCTTTATTAAAAACAGAACTGGAAATAATTTTTTCTGCTATTCATCGTGAAAATTTTCACGATAAGAGTTTGTTAGAATTAATTAAAAGTATGTTTGATAACGAAACCAATGAAATTCTTCCTGAAAGCTATTACTTTAGTTATTTTGTTTACTTGCTACAATACCTGCAACAAGCGCTTCAGTTGAAAGAACGTTCTCCACTTTAAAGCGAATAAAGTCATCTCTTCGAAATACAATGACGCAAAATCGGCTTTCATCACTGGCTACTGTATCAATCCAGAAAGATGTTCTTGCTCGATTAATGGAAACGGGCGACACATTTTATGAACGAGTAATTGAAAAATTTGCACAAAGCAAAGAGAGAAGAATAAACATGCTCTATAAATAATAAAATGTTTTTGTAATCTACGTGTATATTTTAGTTCATAATTTTATTTATAAACAAATAGTTTACAAATAACATAATTAAATGTAAGTCTGTTACAGTTACCTTATAATTTTAAGTATTTTTATAAATAAAAATAAATTTATATTTGCATGTATGTAAAAGAAAATCATGGATCTTGAGGGTGATTACTTTTCTCTGATGCAAATTTATTTTTAGTCTTACCACCAATAGGATAAGTGGATTTTCAAATATTTTTAAGGGGTGGGTCATGACCCCGTGAACCTTCCTCTTGTCCGCCAGTGATTAGACATAGCTATATGTAATTTGCTGGCTTGGTCTACCCAAAATTTTACCACACCAGCCGCCACTGATTGACGCTCTATAATAAAAACAATTAACAATAATCAACAATTAAACAGTAGCCGAATAAAATTCGTGAACAGTTGGAAATTAATATATTTATAGAATTAGTACATTTTTTTCTTCTTTTTGTTTTGATGCAAAAAAAAACTATAACGATAAAACACAGTCAATAATTATACAGGGTGGTAAATCGTCAAACGGGCCATAGGAAACTCAATGGGAAATTCTAAATTGTTGAATTCCTGCTTCCCTAATTATTTTACACCAAAAGTCATGGGAAACTATTTGTAGAAGACTCAAATATGTATCGAAAACAATTGTTAAAATTGTTTTACGACTTAAACATATTCCAAAATTTTGCTAAAATATAATACATTTTTCAGGCCACCCCTAAAAGTCAGCCCAGACGCCGTGAAAAGAATGTGTATTACGTGTTGCGTTTTGTCATATTAACGTTTCTAATATTTGACAATATTTAAATCAATAATCATTTATATTTATCTATGATTTAAATGGCCAATATTTTTATTTTGTGATTTAGTGTTTAAAAAAAATATTAAGTTGATTAAAAAATGTACTCAGTTAAGGAGAAAAGAGCAATAATAAGAATGGTTTATTTATGTTTTATTATAACATTTGTTATAGTTTTATGTTTAGAAATTATCATAAATTATTTTTAGGAATAAAGATCACAGTAACAGTATATTGGAATGCATTGAATTGTTGTATAACTTAACATAGAATTAAATTTTAGTGTATTAGAATATCTTACGTTAAATAAAGATCCGGTAGTGACAGGAAAAGGTTAGCGCTATTGCCTGAATACAACATTAGGTATGCGATTTTTCGTCGACTGGGTACATTTCATTATATTGATCGATTTGTAAACAATATAATTTATTGTTCACAAAGTAATATTGTTCAGTAGTAGTAGTATTTAATAAAATTCATTGTTTATAATTTAATCATAAAATAAAAAATTGACAATTCAAATTGTCAAACATCTGACATCAATATGATAAAACACACACGTTATATATTCTTGTATTACGTGTGGCCTAACTTTTAGGGGTGGTTTGAAAAATCTATTATATTTTTTGCAAAATTTTGAAGTACATTTAATTCGTAGAAGGGTTTTAACATTTGTTTTTAATTCAGATTTTAGTCCTCTACAAATAGTTTTTTTATGACTTTTGATCTAAAATAATTAGGGAAGCAGCAATTCAACAATTTAAAATTTCCCATTGAGTTTCCTATGGCCCGTTTGACGATTCACCACCCTTTATATGGATGGGAAATCTCCGAACACGAACAAAAAAAACTGCTTCAATGATCTGGAACGTTGATCAGCCGGGACAAACATAGGTAAGGAATAAACAAATCAGCCGTAGATTTTTACAAACCTGGAACAACTGCATGTAACGTAACACGTACTGCACAATTAACTGCAAAACTACTAATCTTCCATAACGTAAGACGAAAAACAAAGAAACATTTTCAATTAGACGAACAATTTGGACATAACGTTGAGGACCGCTCTTCACCGCAGCTCCAACGGAAGTGATGAAATTATCTTTTAAAATTGATCGCATAAGTTAGAATAAACAAAACGCTTGAAATAAACAAAACACAACGAAAATTAAGACGTAAATTATTAATTTAAAAACGCAGTTTTCGGGCGGTTTAACGATCAAAGAAATAACAAAAAATTTGCGCCTGTGACATAAACAATAAAATGATTTAGATATTATCGACTTGGCGACGTGAAAAGAACGAAATATTATTTGGGTTTTAACTTGAAAGATACAAACTAAGAAACGAAAAAAAATCTTCGTTATTATAATGCATATATAAGGGGATTTTAATTTATTACATATACGAGGGGATCTCAATATATAGGGAATTACAAATGCTACAATATAGTTAGACCTATTCTTGAGTTTGCCGAACCAGTGTGGAATCCAGATCTCAGTCGCAACAAAATTCTACTTGAAAATATTCAGCGTAAAGAAACAAGACTGGCATACGGCCGTGCAAGACCTATCTATGAAGATAGACTATCCATTGCTCATCTTACGACATTCGGGCAGCGACGTCTTCAAGGTGACCTAATTATGGCCTTCCGTATTTTAAAACATAATTTTGGGACCTACACACCATGTTCACTTTGAATCAAGACGAAAGTTTAAGAGGCCATCGATACAAATTAAAGAGGGAACAAACTACTGCAAGATCCAAGGTGAACTTCTTGCCAAACAGAATCTTAAATAACTGGAACAATTTGGATCAAGACACCATATCGGCAACTAATGTTCAATTGCACAATTCAATTGCACAATTCAATTTTTGTATGATATACTTCATTGTTTAACTTTACTTAACTTTATTATTGCTATTAGTTTTATAAGGATATTTTTTATTTTTGTTTTTTTTTTTTTGCTTTTTGGCCAGGAGGACCTAACCGTCTAATTGGGAGGCCACACAAGCAGCCCATTGATACCATCGATGCCATAAGTATCATCCTCACTATATTCATTGTTAAGCATTGGCAGGGTTGATTGTTTTTTATTTTTTTTTTTTTTTTTTTTTTTTTTTTTTTTTTTTTTTTTTTTTTTTAATAAATATGATTGATTAAAAATTGTTTTATTTGCTATCAGCTAAGCGTTTATGGCTTGATTCCTAGTTTAAGACAAGACGAATTCACACTTGAGATACTGAGCTAGGCGAATCATAGACGATAAGCTCCCATGGTTGATTAAGGTATTATTTTTATAATAGTATTTTAATTCTCTTTGGTAGTCTCATCGTTACAAATTCTTACTGTACGAATAAGGAGCTCGCCTTAGCGAACTTTGCTGGTTCGGAGAAATATTTTTCTTATCGCACAAAGCTTCTGAGATACTCCTTAGCTTCGAAGGACCAGCTGGAGAATCCAGCACCTGAAAGGTTGTTCCCTTGACAAGGGATAGGTGTAAATATTAAATATGTACAGCCTTAAAATATATCTTTATTGCAAGAAGAAAATAGCCTACATTACTGTAGAAAATAGCATTTAATAGTTTATGGATCAAAGTAAAGATTTAACTTGTATAACATGTAAATTAAAATCGTTGTTAAAATGTTAAAATTGTTGGATCACAAATCGTTTATGCACTCGCGGCACGATATGGCAACACCGCGACTTGGAACAATTGCAAAGTTGAGATTAAATATAAGTTTTCTACTTACAATAAGGCACAACATTACTTGTTACACAGCTCTTGTTACCATGCACTCACTGCCAACAATACTGGTCACAAAAAACTAGATGATTGGAAAATAAGGAAATATGAATAAATGAATTTGACGGGTCACAAGCGCTTGCTTGTCAGACCTTCTCTTAAGACGGTTGCTTGGCGACTATATGGTTTTTAGAAACTTGTTAGTCTTGCTAACAGTTCAGGACCGAGAATGGACTGGTTGTTGGGACTAGTCCAAGTTTAGATATAAGGGGAGTTTTGTTATGAAAATCTAAGATTTTTACAATGTACAAATTTATGGTAAATTAGTACACTTACAATTTACCTTAATCAATAATATCTAATGGCGATGGTTTCCGAGATGCATCGGAGATCATCGCCGACATGATATTAGTGTTCAACTTCCCCAAAATCTCCAAGTAACGAGTTTGTTTGAGGTAATTCGCACACCATCGCTGACATATTAGTGTTCAGCAATCCCAAAAACTACCGAGTAACAAGTTTGCACTAATTTTGTATCGAATTTCCACAAAACTCTAACAGGATCCGACAGGATATTTGTATTCCGCGACCCCAAAAACACCGAAATAACGAGTTTGCCATGATTTTGTATCGAATTTCCACAAAACTCTAGGAGAGGAGGCCCTGGTGCACCAGGTGTGTCGGAGACCATCGCCGTCATATTCTTATCAAGCGACCCCGAAAACCTACTAGTAGTCTAGTCGTCAGAGAGCTGACCCCTAAAAATCATACGAACAAGTTGAATTTTGCAAGAATATTAATTTTGGGACCCCAAAAACGATGCAAAAATGTTTACCACTTTTACTCCCGGGCTTCCCCCTAAAATCCTTCGAAGGAGTTAAAAACGTATAAAAATCGATTTAACAACAATCTGTACATCGTAGAAAAAAATCTTTCGAATTAAAAATGTGGCTGAAATAAAGCATTTTTTGTGTGTAATGAACAGGGAGCCTAAGTATGTGAATTTGTCCACCACTTCAAAGGTAGAGTTATCAACCATGAATTGGTGGCCGATGTTTCTGGCTCTATTGTTGGGTGTTATTGCCATTATCTTAGTTTTCTCCTCATTTACTTGCAGACCCATCTTTTTTTAGGTATTTGACAAGGTGGTATAGTAAGGTGGTAAAGGAGACTCGCCAGTGCATCTCCCTGTCGCAGCTCAACATGCGTTTCAAATGCCTGTGATTCTTCTTCT